ATGGAGCATTCCAGGCAGCCCCCCCCCCCCCCCCACATAGCCCTGATGAGGGAGGCCCCCAGGGAGGGAGGGGGCGATGCTATGTGAATCACCCCCCCCAGTCAGCTGCTATCTCCCTGGGCTCGGTTGGTCATACCTGGGGGCCTCTGAATGGAGCCCTCAGGTAAAGCACTGTTGAAACAAATCTAAAGCTGGCTAATGACACGCACTGTGAAACTCTGCACAGGTCATTTACCCTGTTGACAGGCTGGGGCTGGGGGCCTCTTCTCTACACACCTCCTCTCCCTCCCTCGTTCTTTCTCACTGCGCGTCCTCTGGCACGCTCTCTCTCTCTCTCTCTCTCTCATATACACTAGGAGGTAATCTACATTAGGAAAACATACACCCCTCTCTCTCTCAAGGCTTACGTACTCTCTCCCACCACAGCATGGGAAAGCTATCAGAGATCGGTAGAGACAAAGCGACATCCTTTTACAAAAAAAAAAAAAAAAAAAAGGTCAATGTTAATAGTTGCTTTATGTGTTTTAGCAAACTCAGGATATTCTACGCCACGACCATGATTATACTGTTTGAATGAAAGATGATCCATACCAAATGGACAACGTTTTTTTTCTCCCTTTCACCAGCTCCTGAAGAGAGATTCAACCAGAGAGATAGGGTAGAACTTTCCATATGACTTGGGATGGGAGGTACAGTGGTGAAGTGGATTAGTCTATGGAGAAAGTCAACCCCTAAATACTCAAATACCTTTCAGGAAAATAGATGTCCATCATCATCTCTCTGACATGAGCTTCTTCACCTGAACCTGAACCGTGTGGAAAAAAGGGTCATGGTTGAAAACTGCAATACAGAGAACTTGACTTTTCTCAGCATCCAATTGCTTTTGAGGAATCCTCTGACAGAGACAGAGAGTATGTTAGAGTTCACAATGGAGAGTCAATTGTACATGAAATTCCTTCTTAGTTTCATCTGGTTTGTTTGTAGCGTCCATGTGATGAAGGGGGTACAACTAAAGTCCAAAAGGGCTCGTCTTCCTCCCTGCCTCTGCGATTAAAAATGGCTTCCTACATTTTGCCTTTGTTTCTGTTCTGAATAAAGAAGGTAGCCTACAATCCCTACTTTACCAATCATGTACAAATTAAGAGATCCAAAGTCGAAAAAATACAACACATACATTTAAAACATTAAACACATCCAGTAGATGTACATTAAAAACAGGTACATTAAACTAGACAGCATTTTAAACCAGCACCATGGCAACATCATGGGCAGGCCATTACTGTCTAACGCCAGACTAACAGCAATCAATAACTGTGTTCCCACAAAGCAGACCTTGTGCTGTGGACACACACAGTCTCACACACATAGTCAGACACAAGGTTCACTATTAGAGGAATCCATCAGCAGGTGGGATATTGTTGGCCTCAACACCTGTTGGCCTCGCAGGTTTCATCAGATAGTTGAAATAAATGGCAGTCATCATCATCATCATCATAATCATAGTCATAAAACCACCTTTATGCCCGTGCCAAATTGTCGTACCATTTAGATTTCCTGTCAATGTGCTGCTGGAGAGAGAGAGGGGAGGGTGAATACACAGTACACACACACACACCAATGCACAGTACACACACCAATGCACAGTACACACACACACACAACACCAATGCACAGTACACACACCAATGCACAGTACACACACACACACACACACCAATGCACAGTACACACACACCAATGCACAGTACACACACACACCAATGCACAGTACACACACACACACACACACACCAATGGCTTTGGCTCCCATCAGAAATGGCTGGGGCTCCCATCAGAAATGTCTGGGGCTCCCATCAGAAATGTCTGGGGGTCCCACCAGAAATGGCTGGGGCTCCCACCAGAAATGGCTGGGGCTCCCATCAGAAATGGCTGGGGCTCCCATCAGAAATGGCTGGGGCTCCCACCAGAAATGGCTGGGGCTCCCACCAGAAATGGCTGGGGCTCCCACCAGAAGTACACTGGTGAATTCTCAAGGGAGTACAAAGACAAACACTGTACCACACTCACAATACGGCAGGTGTGGAAGACAAAATTAGATTCAACATTAAAAATAATCCCTCAATTATCTAATATCTTCCACCGTGAGAGATATTAACAGTTCACAATGTCTGACTTGTCCCAAGTTGAAGTTGATGAGTTGAATGCAAAACGTACAAAGTTGCCCATTGCCATTTGTCTGTCATCGTTCTTTAAATAAGCCACACCAGTGGAGGCTGGTGGGAGGAGCCACACGTGGGTTGGAATGAATCTGAGAGGAAAGGTGACAAGTTTTGATGATAGTTTAATGGCGGTTTTGACTCAGAGTGAATAAGATATCTATGGTATGAATAGTGGTATGAATAGACAGTGGTATGTCTATTCATACCACTGTGACCTGTGCAAATATGGACCACCACAATAAATAAAAACAAAGTAACTATGACAACGTAGAGAAAAATAAAATATATATTTTTTTAAAGACAAGACCGTGAAAAAGTCAAATCTAGTCAGTAGTGACATATTCAAGTAAAAATGAAAGGAACAGCACCATTCTTTTCTAACATATTGGGTATTATAAGGTCACAATAGTACTTCACATAACATAACACTGTCTTGATTCACAGCCGAGTTGCAGTCTCTAAAAACACTGCTTTGATCATCTTTGATTACAAAATCTGAAAGTATTATTTATTTGTATTTCTATGAAACAGTATACGCCAGGTTTTGGTCAACACAGCAGTCTTTAGGTATAACTGGTCATTTCTGTTACACAGATAAAGACACAAAAAACATTCTGATAGAGACTCCACCTGTGCCCCTCTTCAAGGCATAATCTGTCTCTATTGTCAATGAGACCTGACTGATACAATGGACCCATTGCGATAACAGAACTAGATACAGAACCTTTTCCCCAGAAGTATTGTACTTAGGGCCCTGTGATTTACACCCACCACGTGGACATGCCTGGATTTCAACCTTTATTTAAAGCTTTTTCATCAAACTGGCCTTTTATTTTGCTGTCAGATGTTCCAGCACCATCCTGAGACAATCGCTGTCATTAGCTAGGTTTCCATCCAATCGCTGTCATTAGCTAGGTTTCCATCCAATCGCTGTCATTAGCTAGGTTTCCATCCAATCGCTGTCATTAGCTAGGTTTCCATCCAATCGCTGTCATTAGCTAGGTTTCCATCCAATCGCTGTCATTAGCTAGGTTTCCATCCAATCGCTGTCATTAGCTAGGTTTCCATCCAATTGCTGTCATTAGCTAGGTTTCCATCCAATTGGCGACAGATTTTCAATGCGAATATTTAAAAAAATCTGCAAAAAAAAAAAGAACATGCGCATTTTCCCACTTTTGTGGATAAAAGGCTGTGCGTGATGACTTGGTGAAGATCAAAATGGGATTCCGTCGCATTTTCCAACTCTACTGATGGCTTTGTCACTACAAATGTTGCGTTGTACAGCGAATGTGCCCACTCTGGTCTTGACATGTGCTCTCTAGCCAACAGCTCACAGATACAGTGCGGCTATAGCCTATATGATGAGATTATTACGGACAAAAGAGCTCGATTTTTATTTATTTGTCAAATGGCAGCCAAGCATCGATCATCATGTCACCAGAATAAGACCCTCGATATTTATTGGAAAGGAGCATCAAGCTCATCACCTTGCCCTTTCACCACCCTGTGAAGTTCATCATAACTTATTTCATCTGTAGCCTAATAAACTGCATGCTTTCCTGAGTCGTAGTGGGAGGACCACACAACATGTCATCGCGTGACTCCAAGTTTACTGCTATATGATGGTTATTATATCAATATTTGCTCATAAAGGTGTTTCCACCGCCATTTCTCGCATTATGAATTTACAGAAACAGAAATATCCCACCTTGTCTAGCGTATTTTGTTTATTTATTTTTTTGTCATTTAGGAGACGTTCTTATCCAGAGCGACTTACAGGAGCAATTAGGTTTAAGAGCCTTGCTCAAGGGCACATCGACAGATTTTTCACCTAGTCGGCTCGGGGATTAGAACCAGCGACCTTTCGGTTACTGGCACAACGCTCTTAACCACTAAGCTACCTGCCGCCTGTTTCCATCAGGCCTGTCGTGACATTTTTTTCTCCGACTGGCATAAAAAGTTTGGATGGAAACCTGGTTAGTGTTGGTGTTATTCTCATGGCTGATGGAAACCTGGTTAGTGTTGGTGTTATTCTCATGGCTGATGGAAACCTGGTTAGTGTTGGTGTTATTCTCATGGCTGATGGAAACCTGGTTAGTGTTGGTGTTATTCTCATGGCTGATGGAAACCTGGTTAGTGTTGGTGTTATTCTCATGGCTGATGGAAACCTGGTTAGTGTTGGTGTTATTCTCATGGCTGATGGAAACCTGGTTAGTGTTGGTGTTATTCTCATGGGCTGATGGAAACCTGGTTAGTGTTGGTGTTATTCTCATGGCTGATGGAAACCTGGTTAGTGTTGGTGTTATTCTCATGGCTGATGGAAACCTGGTTAGTGTTGGTGTTATTCTCATGGCTGAGGTGTAAAACACACGGCCCTAATATCCCACATGTCAACACATGCAGTGTAAACATGATGTACTATAATGTACTGAGTTATGGACCTACAGTTCAACTGAAAGACACTATTGGAAGACGGTAGAACAGATCTTCACATGTTCATCAAGATGATCTGCAGACTCATTATCTACTTGGAATGTCAACAGATTCAAGTGTAAAAAAGTTTCACAAATCTCCTTTGACGTGCTGTAAAGCCATTACAAGCCAGCCGCTTGCAATGAGTCCAGATTTAGTGTTGCTACTGTATATTCTACTCAACTTTTCAGTGACCTCCAGAAAGTCAACGATAGTGAGACTATAAGCAGCTAAACAAGTGCAGCAGCTCTCAAACAACAGAAACCAATTCATCTCCAGTAGAGACCAGAGATAAGGTCTGTGTGTGTGTGTGTGTGTGTATGCGTGTGTGTGTCGAGCAGTCTAGCTCCGTAACGCAACACTGTTCTAGTAGAACCGATAGCGTTCTGTGAAGAAACCGTTAGAAATGTTTATGGTACCTACCTAGCGTAGGATAGCTCGTCTATTGATATTCTGTTTTACTGTGTATTAATCTAGTGTCCGTAGAATGCATTGCTTAGTCACGGAGGAAGTCCCCCTGCTTTTAGGGAGGTTTGCCTGGACCTTCTCCTGGCTATGGCCTCCTGCTTCTTCCTCTCAATCTCCTCCTCTGTGCATCTCCCTGTCATTTGGCTGCTGACAAACACTGAGAAACAAATAAGATTACATGGAAATAAGACTCTGACTGCGATTGAAAAGCTTAAAAGACAGAATGTGCCTACAGTAATTGACAGATAAAAAGCACAGACAATTAGTGTATCCATTTTCATGCACAAAAAGTTAATACATTCAAACATTTACTCAGCCTTTCCAACTTTGAAAAGACATCATTGAATAGAAAATGAAGCTATTCCATTCTAAAGTACACCTCCTAACCTCTCAGGGCCCTGACCCAATAGCCATCTCTTCACCTCCTAACCTCTCAGAGCCCTGACCCAATAGCCATCTCTTCACCTCCTATCCTCTCAGAGCCCTGACCCAACAGCCATCTCTTCAGTTCTAAAGTACACCTCCTAACCTCTCAGGGCCCTGACCCAGTAGCCATCTCTTCACCTCCTAACCTCTCAGAGCCCTGACCCAATAGCCATATCTTTACCTCCTAACCTCTCAGAGCCCTGACCCAATAGCCATCTCTTCACCTCCTAACCTCTCAGAGCCCTGACCCAATAGCCATCTCTTCACCTCCTAACCTCTCAGAGCCCTGACCCAACAGCCATCTCTTTACATTTACATTTACGTCATTTAGCAGACGCTCTTATCCAGAGCGACTTACCTCCTAACCTCTCAGGGCCCTGACCCAATAGCCATCTCTTCACCTCCTAACCTCTCAGAGCCCTGACCCAATAGCCATCTCTTCACCTCCTAACCTCTCAGGGCCCTGACCCAATAGCCATCTCTTCACCTCCTAACCTCTCAGAGCCCTGACCCAATAGCCATCTCTTCAGTAAACTTGACCGTCTCCATTAGATGTGGTTTGTCATGTACTTGACAAGTTTAAAACCTGCCTACACTGGCTGACTATGGGGAGCTCTTCTCTTCAGTACACTGGACTAGCTTGACTTCCAGCGATAAGTGGATAACACTTTGAGTAAACTTCCTGATTGGCCTTATGTACTGTTAGGGGCAACATTTAATGTAATATTGGAGCTAATCCGACAAGTGCCAGGGGGGGTCACATGCACAAACAAAGCTCACCTTTGTTTTGCTTTTTTAGGGGGTAAAAAGCTCACCTTTGTTGCCGATGGCGTCCGAGTCCGAGAGATGTCTCTTGAACGATGATGCATGATGGGAATTTGAGTTTGGGAGGGTTCTTGCCGAAACTGTCCGTGGCATGACTGTCTTTGAGTTCTCTGCTTGGAAGGTTCTAACTCCAAGGGATCCTAGGCCAAGTGCTCCCCAGCCTGGAGCACCCCTCAGCTGGGTAAACTTGCCCAGACCCTCCCCACTGCCTGGATGGCTCTGGGACATGACTGTATGATGTCCGACCCCAACATTTCCTGCTTTCACTGGAATGTTCCATCCCTGAAAGTTCACAGGGGTGCTGCTCCTGTCCCCTGGTGCTGAGTTGGAGCGGGTGGTTGACTGTCTATTTCTAGTAGCACCTACAACCCTATCCATAGTCATAGACCCCTCTCTCGCTATAGCCAGAGGGGCGGTTGGAGGGGCTTTCGGTTTGCTCTCTTGGACTCGGACCTCCGTGGCGTCCGTCGTTACTGTAGCGTTCCCGGACTGGGGCTGACTGTTGGAGATCCTCTCCACGTCGTCACACACCTGATACAGCAGTTCGTCATCGTCACCTTCATCGTCGTTCCACAGCGACTCAGAGTCAAACAGGGACTGGAGGTCCTCATCTGAGATGTCTTTGAAAGTGGAGTCCGTGGCTTGGGTGGGAGCCGAGCCCTGGGCCGGAGCAGTGACTGGGGCTGGGGTTCCACGTGAGGCTGGAGTTGTGGCTTTGCTCACCCCCTCAGCCTTCCCTTCTGCAGAGTCTCTACTGGGGCACCTACCCGCCGCAGACAAGCCGGGCCTGGGTCTCTCAGGTTGGGCCTCTCCAACAGTGAGGCAGGGTCTGGGTGCTTCTTTGCTTGTCCGAGCCATACTCACCTGGAAACAAGGGTTGGGCTCCAGCAGGAAAGTGCTTCTGCTGGTGGGCTTGAGTTTAGGACATGGCCCAGTGAGGACACCTCTGTTTGAAGGTTGAGGGTGTGTGCTTGTCCCCTTCCAGACAGAGTGAGAGTGCAGACCGGTAGGATTAGAGGTAGCAGAGGAGGGTGGGGGTGGAAGGGTCTTTTCTGTATCTGTTACCAGCTGTGTGTTGTCTCTGTCAGTGCTCAGAGTCAGTGAGCTGCTGGGTTTGGGGGCTGGCATTTTCAGCCCCTCAGGATTCTGGGTGATCTCCAACACGATAGGGTCGTTGAGAAGGTCATCATCCTCCCAGTCAAAGTCCTCGTCTTTCGCCACAGTGGTCGTGGAGTTCCACTGTCCTACCACCTCTTCACCAGTACGAGCCGTAGGACCAGACGGGATTCCCCCGCCAGGCTTGACCTCCCACTCTTTGATGAGGTCATCAGCAGTGAGATGGCTGACCCCAACTTGAACCTTGACTTCCTGAGAACAGGTGGAGGCGGTCGACCCTTGGCTGAGCCGTCCGGTGATTCGCTGCGTCGGCCCGTCGAACAGAGCGTTAAGCTCCGCCTCTACCTGATGGGCTGATGACGTCATTATTGTCGGGCACTTGGGTTCCTCCCCGTACCTGTTGTTGTTGTTGTTGTTTATGGTATTGTTTGTGTGTTCAGCACTCTTCTTCTCTCTGTCCTGCTGGTGCATGTTGATGTCAAACTGCCTGGCCAGCTGCATCAAGTCATCCACTGAGCTTTTCCTGTGGAGAGGAGAGGAGGAGAGGAGATATGAACAAGGAAGGCATAATAACTATATTGAGGAACCTTTGAAAAAACTAGTATAAGCACTAGCAAAATATCAGACTGCAAGAATGATCTGATAAAGATAATTACTGGAATAAGACAAACAACTATTGGAAGAGAAATAAACTTTACATCTTAAATAAAGGTTTTCAACTTGTCAACCTGATTACACAAGTGATTTAATATCATGTCTTAATATCATAATGGAGGGGATGGCTGCCATTTTGCGGGTTCCTAATCAACTGTGCTATTTTGTGTGTTTTTTCGCATTGTTTGTAACTTATTTTGTACATAATGTTGCTGCTACCGTCTCTTATGACCGAAAATAGCTTCTGGATATCAGAACACCTGAACTGGACGAATATATTTTCTTTAATGAGTCCGACTTGTAGGATATTCTGCTTCTCCGAGACCAGGCCCAAATCCAGGTCGTTCGCGTGAAGAAAAGACGGAAGTACAGGGGGAGGAGATCGGGGTGGCTTGTGAGAATTTGTCGGCGAGTGGGTAACCCGCCTCTACCATCCGTTCTATTGGCCAACGTGCAATCACTGGAGAATAAACTGGATGATCTCCGTTCGAGCCTATCCTACGAACGGGATATTAAAAACTGTAATATCTTATGTTTCACCGAGTCGTGGCTGAACAACGACACGTATAATATATAGTTGGCTGGGTTTTCCATGCATCGGCAGGACAGAACAGCTACGTCTGGTAAGTCGAGGGGTGGGGGTGTGTGTCTATTTAGGAGGTCTCGAGGTTTTGCTCGCCTGAGGTAGAGTACCTCATGATAAGCTGTAGACCACACTATCTACCAAGAGAGTTTTATCTATATTTTTCGTAGTCATCTATTTACCACCACAAACGAGCTGTATAAGGCCATTAGCAAACAGGAAAATGCTCATTCAGAAGTGGCGCCCCTAGTGGCCGGGACTTTAATGCAGGCAAACTTAAATCAGTTTGACCTAATTTCTACCAGCATGTTAAATGTGCAACCAGAGGGAAAAAACTCCAGACCACCTTTACTCCACACACAGAGACGCATACAAAGCTCTCCCTCGCCCTCCATTTGGCAAATCTGACCATAATTCTATCCTCCTGATTCCTGCTTACAAGCAAAAACTAAAGCAGGAAGTACCAGTGACTCGCTCAATACAGAAGTGGTCAGATGATGCGGATGCTACGCTACAGGACTGTTTTGCTAGCACAGACAGGAATATGTTCCATGATTCATCCAATGGCATTGAGGAGTATACCACCTCAGTCACTGGCTTCATCAATAAGTGCATCGACGACGTCGTCCCCACAGTAACCGTACGTACATATCCCAACCAGAAGCCATGGATTACAGGCAACATCCGCACCGAGCTAAAGGCTAGAGCTGCCGCTTTCAAGGAGCGGGACACTAATCCGGATGCTTATAAGAAATCCTGCTATGCCCTCAGACGAACCATCAAACAGGCAAAGCGTCAATACAGGACTAAGATTGAATCCTACTACACCGGCTCTGACGCTCGTCGGATGTGGCAGGGCTTGCAAACTATTACAGACTACAAAGGGAAACCCAGCAGAAAGCTGCCCAGTGACGCAAGCCTACCACATGAACTAAATTACTTCTATGCTCGCTTCGAGGCAAGCAACACTAAAGCATGCATGCGAGCACCAGCTGTTCCGGACGACTGTGTGATCACGCTCTCCGTAGCCGATGTGAGCAAGACCTTTAAACAGGTCAACAGTCACAAGTGCGGGGGCCAGACGGATTACCAGGACGTGTACTCAGACCATGCACGGACCAACTGGCAAGTGTCTTCACTGACATTTTCAACCTCTCCCTGAACTAATCTGTAATACAAACATGTTTCAAGCAGACCACCATAGTCCCTGTAACCAAGAACACTAAGGTAACCTGCCTAAATGACTACCCCCCGGAGCACTCACGTCTGTAGCCATGAAGTGCTTTGAAAGGCTGGTCATGGCGCACATCAACACCATCATCCCGGAAACCCTAGACCCACTCCAATTCGCATACCGCCCCAACAGATCCACAGATTATGCAATCTCTATTGCGCGCCACACTGCCCTTTCCAACCTGGACAAAATGAACACCTATGTGAGAATGCTGTTCATTGACTACAGCTCAGCATTCAACACCATAGTGTCCTCAAAGCTCATCACTAAGCTAAGGACCCTGGGACTAAACACCTCCCTCTGCAACTGGATCCTGGACTTCCTGAAGGGCAGGCAACAACACATCTGCCACGCTGATCCTCAACACGGGGGCCCCTCAGGAGTGCGTGCTTAGTCCCCTCCTGTACTCCCTGTTCACCCACGACTGCATGGCTAAGCACGACTCCAACACCATCATTAAGTTTGCCTACGACAACAGTGGTAGGCCTGATCACCGACAACGATGAGACAGCCTATAGGGAGGAGGTCAGAGACATGGCAGTGTGGTGCCAGGACAACAACCTCTCCCTCAACATGAGCAATACAAAGGAGATGATCGTAGACTACAGGAAAAGGAGGGCCAAAACACGCCCCTATTCACATCGGCAGGGCTGTAGTGGAGCGTGTTGAGAGTTTCAAGGTCCTTGGTGTCCACATCACCAACAAACTATCATGGTCCAAACACACCAAGAAAGTCGTGAAGAGGGCACGACAATGCCTTTTCCCCCTCAGGAGACTGAAAAGATTTGGCATGGGTCCCCAGATCCTCAAAACATTCTACAGCTTCACCATCGAGAGCATCCTGACCGGTTGCATCACCGCCTGGTATGGCAACTGCTCGGCATCCGACTGAGAGGGTAGTGCGTACAGCCCAGTACATCACTGGGGCCAAGCTTCCTGCCATCCAGGACCTCTATACTAGGCGGTGTCAGAGGAAGGCCCAAAAAATTGTCAAAGACTCCAGTCACCCAAGTCATAGACTGTTCTCTCTGCTACCGCACGGCAAGCGGTACCGGAGCGCCAAGTCTAGGTCCAAAAGGCTCCTTAACAGCTTCTACCCCCAAGCCATAAGACTTTAATTAATTAATCAAATGGCCACCTGGACTATTTGCATTGACACCACCCCCTTTGTTTTTACACTGCTGCTACTCGCTGTTTATTATCTATGCATAGTCACTTTACCCCTACCTACACGTACAATTTACCTGGACTAACCTGTACCCCCGCACATTGACTCGGTACCGGTACCCCCTGTATATAGCCCCGTTATTGTTATTTTATTGTGTTACTTTTTATTAAATTTTTTACTTTAGTTTATTTAGTAAATATTTTCTTAACTCAATTTCTTGAACGGCATTGTTGGTTAAGGGCTCGTAAGTAAGCATTTCACTGTAAGGTCTACACCTGTTGTATTCGGCGCATGTGACAAATACAATTTGATTTGTACAAGTGCAGTATAGTAGTTCACTCACCGAGTGGATTTCTTCCTGGCTCTGGGCGGGCGTACCTCTGGAGTACAGGGGACAGCACTGTCCCCAATCCACTGGAGCAGAGGACTATCCACAGAGACATGCTGGGCATCCTGGAAAAGGAACACATGGTATATAACAGCTGGTTTGTGTGCTGTGACCAACCTAAAGATTTTGGAGTTGTGAGAAAAACCAATGTGTCAAGCATGGGCACAGGCTTTAGCCCCCAGTGCTTCGAGAAGTACCATATTTAGAATGTCTTCCTTCAAAGCAGTATCACATCCACTTAGAGTGTATATCTTTGCATCCACTGAAATAAATCAACACAGTGAAATGCAGTCTTTTACATTTTAATATTTCTATATAACAAGGCCTTTATATCCACAGTAACACACGATGATTCAAAAACATGTCGGTGCTGCAGCCAGCCAGCAACTATCAATGGACCTCAGTGAGACGGTGAACACGTTTTATACACTGACCTTAGGGGCGATCCGATTGACGATGTCTGATATCTCAACAACTCTGGTGTTGCTGGGCCCTTCTGGAGAATAAGGAACAGTTAGCCTTCTGTTGCCACATTTACACCAACCGGTCAAAAGGTTTACAACACCTACACATTCAACGCTTTTTCTTTATTTTTACTATTTTCTACATTGTAGAATAATAGTGAAGACATCAAAACTATGAAATAACACATATGGAATCATGTCGTAACCAAAAAAATAGTTAAACAAATCAAAATATATTTTATATTTGAGATTCTTCAAATAGCCACCCTTCACCTTGATGACAGCTTTGCACACTCTTGGCATTCTCTTAACCAGCTTCACCTGGAATGCTTTTCCAACAGTCTTGAAGGAGTTTCCACATATGCTGAGCACTTGTTGGCTGCTTTTCCTTCACTCTGCGGTCCGACTCATCCCAAACCATCTCAATTTGGTTGAGGTTGGGGGATTGTGGAGGCCAGGTCATCTAATGCAGCACTCCATCATGCTCCTTCTTGGTAAAATAGCCCTTACACAGCCTGGAGGTGTGTTGGGTCATTGTCCTGTTGAAAAACAAATGATAGTCCCACTAAGCTCAAACCAGATGGGATATCACTGCAGAATGCTGTGGTAGCCATGCTGGTTAAGTGTGCTTTGAATTCTAAATAAATCACAGACAGTGTCACCAGCAAAGCACCCCCACACCATAACACCTCCTCCTCCATGCTTTACGGTGGGAAATACACATGCAGAGATCATCCGTTCACCCACACCGCGTCTCACAAAGACATGGCGGTTGGAACCAAAAATCTAAAATTTGGACTCCAGACCAAAGGACACATTTCTACCTGTCTAATGTCCATTGCTCGTGTTTCTTGGCCCAAGCAAGTCTCTTCTTCTTATTGGTGTCCTTTAGTAGTGGTTTCTTTGCAGCAATTCGACCATGAAGGCCTGATTCACACACTCTCCTCTGAACAGTTGATGTTGAGATATGTCTGTTACTTGAACTATGTGAAGCATTTATTTGGGCTGCAATTTCTGAGGCTGGTAACTCTAATGAACTTATCCTCTGCAGCAGAGGTAACTCTGGGTCTTCCTTTCCTGTGGCGGTCCTCATGAGAGCCAGTTTCATCATAGTGCTTGATGGTTTTTGCAACTGCACTTGAAGAAACTTTCAAAGTTCTTGAAATGTTCCATATTGACTGACCTTCATATCTTAAAGTAATGATGGACTGTCGTTTCTCTTTGCTTATTTTAGCTGTTCTTGCCATAATATGGACTTGGTATTTTACCAAATAGGGCTATCTTCTGTATACCCCCCTACCTTGTCACAACACAACTGATTGGCTCAAACGCATTAAGAAGGAAAGAAATTCCACAAATTAACTTTTAAGAAGGCACACCTGTTAATTGAAATGCATTCCAGGTGACTACCTCATGAAGCTGGTTGAGAGAATGCCAAGAGTGTGCAAAGCTGTCATCAACGAAAAGGGTAGCTATTTGAAGAATTTCAAATATAAAAAATAATATATACAATTTGGATTTGTTTAACACTATGTTGGTTACTACATGATTCCATATGTATTATTTCATAGTTTTGATGTCTTCACTATTATTCCACAATGTAGAAAATAGTTTTTAAAAAAAAAGTAAAACCCTTGAATGAGTAGGTGTTCTAAACCTTTTGACTGGTAGTGTACATAGTAGTCACAATCACTTTGGGCCACTAGCGGAAACTTTAAGTAGCCTATATGTAGGCTATGTGATCTGTGGGGGAATTAAACATGACCTCATATCAACTAAGACACCATCATGTGCTGGCTTTGAGAAGGAGAACAAAAAGATGGGTGGATTGAGGATGACACATGATGGTCTGATAGGTGTGAGTAGAATGAGTAGGAGGACGAATGAAGGAAAAAGTGATGTTAATGTTAAAGCTAATATGCCTTCGCTCATCACGTGACTTAACAACACCATCATACCACTTCTAGCAGGAGTAGGTGATGCCGGGTCCCATATGATGTCTTGCGAAATATCTCCATCCCCAGGGGAATCAGCAGTGTTGTTTAAGCCCGTGTATCTGCCCCTCGCTCGCCGTTTGGGGGTCTCCAAATCTGGTGGGAACGAGATTATCTGTAAGGGGGTCGCTAGACATACTAGATAGGTGAACAACAACGGGTTCTACCTGGTCACACTGGCGCACCATAGGGACGGCATCAGAGCGTGAGGAGCGACTAGGAGCTAATGCATTGCTCAGTTATGTATTGAGCCATGTCATCGTGGAATGCTCTGCCACCAGAGGTTACTTAGGCAAAAAGTTAGTTTAGCTTTAAAAACATTGTATCACAGCGCCTCTCCTCTTTCTAACGAGCTCATTTAACTGTATATAAGAATATGAATATGTATATATGAATAGTGTGTAAATCGTATTTTTGTTGTCTCTTGGTGTCTTTCTAATATATAAAACTCTTATTGTAATGTTGTATATATAATGTCCTTGTCTATAACTGTTCTGCACTTCGTAATTTATCTGTACGTTTTATGTGGACCCCAGGAAGAGTAGCTGCTGCATGTGCTGTAGCTAATGGTGATCCTAATAAACTACACCTGGGGCGCGTTCAGCAGGAGGCAACGTTTTGGAACGCTCAGATAGAAATATATAGTCTGTGTAAATCAAACATGCCTCTGGCATGTGGAATGAGGAATCACATCAGCTATATACATGGCATTTATATCTGCAATGTTCCGAGAACGTTTGGCAACTGAAAGTGGCCCTAGCTAGCTAGCTAGTTAGCTACGTCTCTGGCCAGCTAATTAACGTTAGAGCTGTTTATCCTGCAACCTACACGCAAGTTTGGCCAAATTAGCTCGATTCTAGCTGTTGTTAGTTACCCAACTAGCTGGTTAGCAAGACCTTTCCCGTGTACTTTTAGCCACCATCTTACCTTTAGAACGAGAATGTGGTGACTTCCTGACAGAAGGTGAAGATTGAGGTGTCAGTTTCTGGCTTTTACCCGATTTGTTTGTTGTCAACCTGTTTTGAGAAAGTTTGTAAACACGACTCCAGATTTCACTGAAGTTATTTGAACCAGTGGGAGGGTCATGCTTTCTTGGGTTCGGCATATTTCGTCGTCAGTTTTCTTGTTCATCATTTGATGAACGGTCGATTACTTGCCCATTTAAACGCAAATTGAATCGTTTGTCATTATCCGATTGCTTATCTTTGTGGGTAAAAGTGTGCTGTGTTTTTGTTCAGCATGTACGCCGCCATGATGTTGTGTGACGTCACGCCAAATGCATGAACCTGATTTGTTAATAGCGCCTTACCAGCTCCCTCTACAAAACGGAAGTTTCCCCCAGACACTGAACTGAGGTCAGTTTTTCGATTTTCCTCACTTTGTGTAACATAAGGTCTATGGCAACTAGGATGTTTACTAGTTGTATTTACAAGTGACGCTGAAATATGTTAGAAAACGAACCTGCTTTGTGTAGCAGAAAGTTCACGTTTATTTAAGTTAATTTGCCATAGTCCATATGTATTCAATACATTGGCCATCTCACCAGAGCTCTCAAAATAAAAAAACAGCATTTAAAACAGAAAGAAAGTTCAGGACAATACATAAAATAGCCTAGTACAAAAACAAGCCCGTGTCATGTGCAATCAGCCATAGAGTGAAACTTCACACTACCTGGTTCTTTAAAGTGATAAACCCAACCAATACCTCATTTACTTTTGGCACTTGAGCTGACTGTCCCGCATGCTATCAGCTTTGGGAAGTGATGCTCCACTTGAAGCCCTGGGGCCCATATCCACACAGTGCTGATCTAGGATCAGGTCCCCCTGTCCAAATTATATCTTATTCATTATGAGCTAAAAGGCAATACTGATTCTGGATCAGCTCTCCTACTCTGAGAGGCTTTGTGGATATGGGCCCAGGACTGTGTTTGCTCTGAATCTCTATGCAAACATGGTGGTAATGTGTCACTACCCTCATCACACTGATGTGGAGACATGACCCTGTCCTGACCGTACTGAGGTCCAACGTTGACTGCTAAGGGTCACACACTCTAACTGGGCAAAGTATCTTTAGACCGAATGTGTGTGTGTGTGTGTGTGTGTGTGTGTGTGGTGTATCGGAGGGGTTGGGTACAGATGAAGACCAATTTCCATCTCGTATGGATTAATAAAGTATTCTTCTAGATCTAGTTTATCTAAGATAAGTCTGGAGCGTATGTAAAAGCTGACAGGAAAAACCAATATGGGTAAATATTGTATTAATCAAAACTTGACCTAAATTAACCTAAAATCCATTTTTCAAGGGGTATTTTCTGCAGGTGGTTAAATACTGCAGTAAATCATTCAGTATAATAGTCTAACCTGTGTGTTCGGCAGATATACAGTGGGGGAAAAAAGTATTTAGTCAGCCACCAATTGTGCAAGTTCTCCCACTTAAAAAGATGAGAGAGGCCTGTAATTTTCATCATAGGTACACGTCAACTATGACAGACAAATTGAGGAGAAAAAATCCAGAAAATCACATTGTAGGATTTTTTATGAATTTATTTGCAAATTATGGTGGAAAATAAGTATTTGGTCACCTACAAACAAGCAAGATTTCTGGCTCTCACAGACCTGTAACTTCTTCTTTAAGAGGCTCCTCTGTCCTCCACTCATTACCTGTATTAATGGCACCTGTTTGAACTTGTTATCAGTATAAAAGACACCTGTCCACAACCTCAAACAGTCACACTCCAAACTCCACTATGGCCAAGACCAAAGAGCTGTCAAAGGACACCAGAAACAAAATTGTAGACCTGCACCAGGCTGGGAAGACTGAATCTGCAATAGGTAAGCAGCTTGGTTTGAAGAAATCAACTGTGGGAGCAATTATTAGGAAATGGAAGACATACAAGACCACTGATAATCTCCCTCGATCTGGGGCTCCACGCAAGATCTCACCCCGTGGGGTCAAAATGATCACAAGAACGGTGAGCAAAAATCCCAGAACCACACGGGGGGACCTAGTGAATGACCTGCAGAGAGCTGGGACCAAAGTAACAAAGCCTACCATCAGTAACACACTACGCCGCCAGGGACTCAAATCCTGCAGTGCCAGACGTGTCCCCCTGCTTAAGCCAGTACATGTCCAGGCCCGTCTGAAGTTTGCTAGAGTGCATTTAGATGATCCAGAAGAGGATTGGGAGAATGTCATATGGTCAGATGAAACCAAAATAGAACTTTTTGGTAAAAATCAACTCGTCGTGTTTGGAGGACAAAGAATGCTGAGTTGCATCCAAAGAACACCATACCTACTGTGAAGCATGGGGGTGGAAACATCATGCTTTGGGGCTTTTTTTCTGCAAAGGGACCAGGACGACTGATCCGTGTAAAGGAAAGAATGAATGGGGCCATGTATCGTGAGATTTTGAGTGAAAACCTCCTTCCATCAGCAAGGGCATTGAAGATGAAACGTGGCTGGGTCTTTCAGCATGACAATGATCCCAAACACACCGCCCGGGCAACGAAGGAGTGGCTTCGTAAGAAGCATTTCAAGGTCCTGGAGTGGCCTAGCCAGTCTCCAGATTTCAACCCTATAGAAAATCTTTGGAGGGAGTTGAAAGTCCGTGTTGCCCAGCGACAGCCCCAAAACATCACTGCTGTAGAGGAGATCTGCATGGAGGAATGGGCCAAAATACCAGCAACAGTGTGTGAAAACCTTGTGAAGACTTACAGAAAACGTTTGACCTGTGTCATTGCCAACAAAGGGTATATAACAAAGTATTGAGAAACTTTTGTTATTGACCAAATACTTATTTTCCACCATAATTTGCAAATAAATTCATTAAAAATCCTACAATGTGATTTTCTGGATTGGGTTAGGGTTAGGGTCAGATATACACTACCGGTCAAAAGTTTTAGAACACCTACACATTCAAGGGTTTTTCTTTATTTTTACTGTTTTCTACATTGTAGAATAATAGTGAAGACATCACAACTATGAAATAACACATATGGAATCATGTAGTAACCAAGAATGTGCTAAGCAAATAAAAATATTTTGTATATTTGAGATTCTTCAAATAGCCACCCTTTGCCTTGATGACAGCTTTGCACACTCTTGGCATTCTCTCAACCAGCTTCACCTGGAATGCTTTTCCAACTGTTTTGATTGAGTTCCCACATATAAATACCCTCTTTCCCGTCCCCGTCGACAGCACCCCCACCCCAAAACATTTTCATGGTCAGGTGTAACATATTTCAGTTCAATCGTATTTTGAAACCCAACGGAAAGCAAACTTTTGAAAACTTGTCGCAGGAGGTTACAGGTCATTTATGTCTGTCATTGTAGGTGACCCTAAGAGAGAATTACTGTCTGGCTGGAACGGGTTCAGAGACAAAGGATGCATCCCAAATAGCAGCCTATCCACTATATAGTGCAGTGTTATTGACCAGGGTCCATTTCCTATATAGTACACTACTTGGTGTTGAGAGATATCCACAAGCTTTGGATGCGTCCCAAATGGCATCCTATTCCATATACTGTATTTTTTACTACTTTGACCAGGGCCCATTCACTATTTAGTGCACTACTTTTGGTGTAGAGCTCTGGTCAAAAGTAGTGCACTATAAAGGGAATAGGGTGCCATTTGGGACGCAATCAAAGCTTGTTGATATCCTTCAACACTGTTTCACACAAGTAATAACACATGTCTGGGTCAAAATGTAGTCATTTAATGTGGCCATATTGTAGTCAATTGAACTACACAACCTTGAGAAGATGTATGGGAAAACTTTTTGTTTTTCCTTTCTTAACAATGCATGCAATTTTCATTAGATGTTATGAGAAAATGAATGATGATAGTGTATTATTATTGGGGACAACCTTTGAGCATATTTTGATTTAATTTAATGACATTACGGATTATGTTTTGATTGAAAAATGTCTGAAGTATAATTTAGTTTAGCAGGTGATAATTTATTTTACAAATGAAGTCATACTGAGGGATGAGAAATGTTCCATACATTTGACACATAAAAGTGTTTCTGATTTTATTCATTCAAACAGAACATGTTTCTCTGATCAATGCATGTTAATGCAGAGTGATAAAACGGATAAAACAAGTTTAATAGATATATAAAACAAGTTTAATAGATGCATAAAACAAGTTTAATAGATATATACTTCACATTTAATAGATGCATAAAACAAGTTTAATAGATATATACTTCACATTTAATAGATATATAAAACAAGTTTAATAGATATTTAATAGATATATAAAACAAGTTTAATAGATATATACTTCACATTTAATAGATGCATAAAACAAGTTTAATAGATATATACTTCACATTTAATAGATGCATAAAACAAGTTTAATAGATATATACTTCACATTTAATAGATATATAAAACAAGTTTAATAGATATTTAATAGATATATAAAACAAGTTTAATAGATATATAAAACAAGTTTAATAGATATATAAAACAAGTTTAATAGATGCATAAAACAAGTTTAATAGATATATACTTCACATTTAATAGATGCATAAAACAAGTTTAATAGATATATACTTCACATTTAATAGATATACAAAACAAGTTTAATAGATATTTAATAGATATATAAAACAAATTTAATAGATGCATAAAACAAGTTTAATAGATATATACTTCACATTTAATAGATATATAAAACAAGTTTAATAGATATATAAAACAAGTTTAATAGATATTTAATAGATAAATAAAACAAGTTCGATAGATATATAAAACAAGTTTAGTAGATATATAAAACGAGTGTGGGTGTGTGTGTTGTGTGTGTGTGTGTGTACCTGTGTGAGTGTGGTGTGTGTGATGCTGTGGGGATATGGGCTGGATGCAGGGAGACTGAAGCAGGACGGATGTGTGTATGCTTCTCTGGGCTAGACTGCTTACCTGTGTGAGAGTAACAGACACCACTGTCTACACACTTCAACACACTTCAACACATTTCACTCACAATTCTTTGGAATATTGAGGGGAGCTACATGCCATGGTGGTCATACTAACAGCACCCATTGTCATCAATGTTGTAGCCAGGCCAGAGGTCAAATAGCATCTAGAATGGGTAGTTTTCCTAAAGAAAAATTGTGTGACTTGCTTCAGTTGGCCAAAGATATTTGTATGTTAATCGAATACGTTTAGAAAATTGAAATTGCTGGTGTTGAACATGCTGATGACTGTATTACAGTAGTAGGATAGTAGCCTTTAGTGATACCCTATATTTACAAAAGTAT